GTTATTAAGAGGTCGCAGCTGTGATGTGGTGGAGCCACGGCTTTTCCTCAAGTCTGTGTGACTCTGAAGCCCAAGCCATCACTACAGGACCCTATTGGTCTGATTGGAGACCAGGAGGCCTCAGGGGGGAAGAATGGTTCAGGGAATAAAAGTCATGAGCATTGTAGAGATTTTCAGGAAGGTGTGGAAGTGAGGTTGGAGGAAACCAAGGAGAATGTGGGGAGAGTGTGCAGATGATGCTAGAAGTGGGACTGAAAAGGGAAGGACTGAAAAGGTTGGGCAGTGGTTAAATGCTGGGCAGGAATGCCTCCTATGGCATCCCTGAGGATTCATTGTGCGGTACTGAGTGCCACTGCTGGGCTTGGGCTGAATCACCTTGGTGCATTCTGCTTTGCCTGCACAGACTCCATGTGCCAGAACTGTGTCCAGAGAGGATGGAAGCCTGGTCTCAGGGGACCTGGGCCAGAGTAGGGCCTGTGGACCCAATCTGAGGGCAGTGGAAGATACTGTAGGGCCCAAAGAATACCCAGCCTACAGGGCTGTCAAGTGCAGCCAGGTAAAGAATGGATTGAGAAATTAGTGGGGGTTGGGAGGCAAGACCTGGGTGGGGAATGAAACAGAGAGACAGCTCATATACATGGATCAAGAATCCCTCTAGCATCAACACCTACTCTCTGGCCAGGCGACGGCAAATTCCAGGGCAGGTGAAGAAGTTGTCCTCTATGATGTAATTTCCCTGAGCAGGGAAATTCCCTGATCCTAATAAAAATAATTGTTAACATTTACTAATCCCTCACTCCATGACAGACACTGCAAATACTTTATTTGTAATTATCCCCATTTCACACATAAAGAAGCTGAGGCCCGAAAGGGTTAAAAGTAACATGGTTAAGAAGTGTCTAGGCCAGAATTCAAACTGGGTTTTACCTTTCAACCCTCAACTCTTCCAAGATACATTTGCCTAATATTCTGCAGAAATCTAAAGGTCCTAATAGCTTTTATTATTTCTATACTTTTTTTGTATAGGTAGCGTACACATTTTGTATGAAAGAGGCTAGGTTTATAAAAGACTCCCTCCTTCCCTTGTTGACAAGCCGCCCAGTTTTCTACCTGGATGCTGGCAGAATTACCAATTTCTTTTGTGCTCTTCCTGAGATATAATATGTGTTTACAAACATGTTCATATCAGTAAATATTTTCATTAAATGAATGTACCATATTATATATACTGTTATGCACTTTTTTTTTTCCAGTTAACTTGTGTGTAATGGGTTGTATTTGCTTGGCTGCATAAGAGGGTAAAATATCTGTCTTTGCCATCTCTTGGTAGGTTGCCTGTGATGTGCATCACATTCTGGTTTAATGCTTATTCAACAATAAAACTGTTTTCTTTCTCCACTACCTTTGTGGACAGGATTTCTAGGTTGGGAGAAGAATTTGTTTTTGTTTTTGTTTTTGTTTTTGAGACGGAGTCTTGCTCTGTCACCCAGGCTGGAGTGCACTGGTGCGATCTCAGCTCACTGTAACCTCCACTTCCCAGGTTCAAGTGATTCTCCTGTCTCAGCCTCCTGAGTAGCTGGGACTACGGGCACCTGCCACCACGCCCGGCTAATTTTTGTATTTTTGGTAGAGACAGGGTTTCACCATGTTAGCCAGGATGGTCTCGATCTCCTGACCTCATGATCCACCTGCCTCGGCCTCCCAAAGCGCTGGGATTACAGGCGTGAGCCACTGCGCCCGGCCAGATTTTGTTTTTAATTGTATTTCTGTAACATAAGCATGCTGTGCTAGCTCTCTGATTCTTAATTCTCTCTTTGGAAAAACACAGGTAGCCTCACTCTCTGCTGGGCCAGGAGTTCTCGATGGGTGACTCTACGGGTGACATAAGATTTGCCGTGTGAAGTTCCTCAATGGGAGAGGGGTGAGGCTCAGTAACTGGTATAGTTGTAGTAATAGTTTTCTCCGTGGTTTTACTGATCTCCTTCTTCCTTTGATCCATAGTGTGGCCACCTGGCACTTGGAACAGCACAAACATGGCTGCCTGAATGCACAGGGAAGGAGGTCAGATGGTCCAGTTTCAAATCATGGCTCTGTCACCGACTAGAGGTACGGACTTGGGCAAATCTCTTCAGTCCCCTGGGCCTCAGTGTCCCTTTCTGCAAAATTAGGTGCTTTAGGCTAGCTGACCTTCAAAGGCCTTGTTATCTCCAAAGACCTGCGATCATCTGGCTGGTTTTTATCCATAATGGGGTCTGTGATCTGGACCTCAGCCACAGCATCTAGCCCAGGTGCCTTCCTTCCCTCCTCCAGAAAGTTTTTCCTGAACCACCCCTATCCCTGTGACTGGGCCAGGAGAACATCTGGAATTCCATAGTGCCTCTCTGTTGAAATAGCCTACTTCCTGAGGCGAATATCAAATTTTCTCAGTAGTTGCCTGGTGCCTGGGGTAGAGTGATGATCACATCACAGCCACTCTGTGCATGTAGCTCTCCCCACATTTCCAACATGCACAATGCTCCTCCTGCACATGCCTTATTGGTGCTGTCAGAGTATTGATATTAATACCCCCTTTGGAGAAAAGGAAAAAGGCTCAAAGAAATGAAGCCACATGCCTATTTTCATAGCCGGAAGTGAGCCATATTTCACTGTATGTTTACCCAAGCTCTCCTTAGTGCCTTAGTTTTCCCTCCTTGAATCCAGTCTTTTCTCATCTCCTCTGAACCATTTCTTCTCCATCAGTCCCTCCAGATCCCCTCTCAGCCCTTCCCGGGCCCTGCTCTGTCCTGTGAAGCTGACTGTTGGCTCAGCTGCCCCTGGACCTTTGAGCCCTGGCTTCCTGCTGAGCCTGGTCAATGGGATTGGATTGGAAGCAGGGTGGGGGATGGGGGAGCAGTCAGCATTCCCTCCTTCCTTCTGCGCTCTCGCTGCTGTTTTGGCAGTGACTGCCTTTCTCTCCAGAGCCCTTAGGTCTTCCAGGCAGGCCCTCTGCTAGGCTTTAGTTCTCTCTGGGTTTCTCTAACACTTCTCCCTCCATGTGCCCTTCGCACCAAGGCATGGTCGCTGGTTTCCCACTGTTGCTAGTCCTGGATGCTCCAGCCCTTTCAGTTCCCTTCAATCTGTCTGCATCTCAGCAAAGAGGTCCTTCTTTAAACCCCGTCAAACTCTTTAAATATTCTTCTATAAACACACTTTCTTGAGTGAGCCAGCTGTTTCTTTTCAGGACCCTGATTGCTACATGAGCCCAGCCTCACCACCATTTCCCTCTCCTTTTCTTCTGACACACTAAGAAGTTACAGAGCCTGGGCAACCCAGAGCTGCAATCATCCCCACACATCTGCTCTCCAGGAAGATGAGTTTAATGATAATGGAATGGATGGTGTCAGCCTTATTCATTTCTTGAGCATCTGCAATTGGACAGGCACAGTGATAGATTTGGCAGGGTAGCAGTGAGTAAAAAAGACCCCGTGGCTTTCTTCACTGAGCTTCCTGTCTCGTAACAGTGCATGTCTTCATCTCACCTTCTGGCTGGGCAAGTCATGGATCCTCCTTGGACTGTGACGTTCTGCTTGCTGGTTTTCTAGATAGACAAAAGTATTCCTTGCCTTCTGCTGACCAAGGGCTCTCAGACATCATCTTGGTGGTGATGGGAACCTGTCATGCCTCTGGGCTTCCTTCAGACCGCAGTGCAGGTTTCTGGAGGCCACTCAGTGTCTCATTCAAGGACAACTGTCTCCCCCTGGCTAAAGAGGGACAGAGTCCCAGAGCACCAACTGGGTGCTGCAGCTTGACTTCTAGCAGAAACTGGCCCCTTGGTGGTCAAGGGGTCAAAGTCTGACTTCCCATGACCTGCGGTTCTCCTTTATCATAAACAGCGTTTCCGGGTTGTCTGTATATTTCTACATTTTACAAGCAATGGCATCTGGCTATGAACGCTGCTGCCTGAATCACAGTCTGTTTGTTGACCCTGATGGGGCAGCGAGAATTACAGATTTTCCATGGCTTACTCATGGTGTCTATGCTTTGAAGCTGGCCAGGATTGCTTAGAGACGAGGTTTCCAGTTACATCCATTGAAAACCCAATTTTTTTCCCTTTGCAATTTAATACTTTGAAGTGAAAGGAAATCAGCCATCATAGATTATGAAGGGGCATATTTAAAAAGGATATTAATGGAAAGACACATTCCTTAGGTTTTGAGGTACATCTTTGATGTTCCTAGCCAAGAATTATGCTTTCTTCTTGACACCTATCCCTGCCCCTACCATTGTTCTCCCTAGACCGTATATTCTTTTTCTGACTAGGCTTCTCCCAGGCCCCAGCAAGACCTTAGAGATAGATAATAAGGAAGGAGGTTCTTTCTTAAGCTCTAAAAAGGGAAAAAGTTCTAAACCCAAGAAAAAGAGTGGGTAAGAAATTATAGCAGCCACATATAGGAATGTGTATCTATAGCATCATGCTGTTGTGAATTCATTAGCATATAAATAAAATCATAATATATTAGGAGACTCAGAATGATCTATCTCATTAAAAAAATTCCATTTTACATCTTACATAGAATTCTGTACAGAATTCTATATCCCAAACTGTTAACAGTGGTCAGTTATAAGAATTATGGGTAATGATAACTTTCTTCCTCTCCTTATATGTATTTTCCAACTTTTTTTCAATGACCATGTGTTAGTTATGTAATTTTAAAAGTTTTTTTCTTAAATAAAAAGAATGTTCCCAAATTACCAGTATACTATGATTATAATTATCTAACAAATATGAGGCTTAAGGTTATTCCCGTATTAAAAGAAGGGACTATTCATTCCCTAGAAATACTGAGAATAAACACCAAATTGAACCTCTCCACCCCTCCCACTCTACATTTCCTCTGCATGTAGAAACAAGAAATGTGATACACCAAGAAACTCTGTTCTCTGTCCAGAGCTGAAATAGTGGCCGCTCCCTGCAGAGAGTCCACTGATCTCCCCCAAGGTCAGAGTGGCATGTGGCTTACCTGGAGCTGCACACAGGCCTCTCCTTGGGCCCGGAGCTGGCTGACAAGCAGGTAGGTGGTGAGCCCTGCAAGGAAGGGGAGCGACACCAGGCAACAGGTGAGAGCCCAGCATGCGCTGCTGCTCCTGGCCTTGGGCCTGCAGCTGCCGTGCTCTGGCAGCATTTCCACACTGGCTGTCTCCCCAAAGCTCAGTCCCAGATCCTCGGCCATGCTCTTGCTGCTCCTGGAGGCACCTCTGACTCCTGGGCAGAGAGAGCCCCCATTAAATAGAAGACCAGCTCTCACAGTGGGTGACTTAATCACTCAGTCTCCTCCTTCCCTTTTCCTCTCCCCTCCCCTCTTCAAGAGCACACTGTGGCCCTACCCTGCTAGAGAATGTACCGCCTACAACAGAAACCAAGTTTGGTTTAAGGAAAAAAAAAAAAAAAAAAAAAAAAAAGAAGAAGGAGAAGAAGAAAGCTTTCCCAAGCATATTTATATACAGTATGATCATGTGCTCCTTCCTTCGTTTACAGAAGGAAGTTAGGAAAGTCCCTGAAGGAGGAGAGAAAGAATTCATCAAGTCAGTGGGTGGGGCCAATTAAAATATACCTGTTCCCTGCACTGGAGGCTTACCAGCTGTGCCAGTCTGGGGAGTGTGCTTCTGGAAGTGAAAGTGAGGGATGGGAGGTGTGTGGTTTGCAGGTTGGGAAACGGAAATCACATTTACATCAGCCCTTTGCGAAGTGCTGCCTAGCCCTCTGTCATTTTGAACCTCCTAGAAACTCATTCTCAGTGTACAGGTGGGAATAGCAAAGTTCTAAAAGGTGAAGGCACTTGTCCTAGGTCATCCAAGGATGAAGACAGAGGAGCTAGGAAGATGACCTAGTTTCAAATCACGGCTTGGAGTTGTAACCTCTAGCACATGACTGCCTATGAAAGGAAAGTGTATTTCCAGCCTGCACTGACCATTGTTTAATCAGAGTACGAGGTCACAGATGGAGGTGACTGTCTGTGAGGGTAGAACATTAACCGCTACTCCCTGATTAAAGTTAATTAATCATGTGATGTGCTTTGCCTGCAATTGGGTGTGGGGGCCACAACATGTAATAAAAGGTTATATTTATTAAGTGCTTACTTTGTGCCAAACACTGCTCTAAGTTAAATATATCAATAAAATTATTCTATCCTGAGATAACTTTTGTGACAATAAAGCTATCATTCTCATTTTACACATAAGGAAATAAAGCACAGAGGGCAAGTGGTAGAGCCAGAATGGGGACTCAGGCAGGCTGGCTGCTGGCTTCTTCACCATCACACTTCACTGTAGGTGCTGCTGGATCATGTATGTTCATAAATACCTGCACCCTCTTAACCAGGAGGGAGTAATACCCTGCAGTGAGGGGGCTGAGGGGGCTTTCTGGAGAAAGAGGTGGTGTTGGAACTCGGCCTTAGAGCTCAGGGAGGGTTGATCTCAGAGGAGAGTAGAGGACCCTGGGAAAAGATGGGTTCTAGAAATAGGAAAGTTTAAGGAATGGCCTGTGATGTATGGTAGAAACCAGTTTGACTAGAGCCTCCATCCAGTTGCTACTTCTGGTTATATCACAGCCTGGACTCTTCAGGCTACTTGGAAAGGCCTTTCATGGCTTGGTCCCTGCTCACTGCTACCCCTCCCCAGTGTCCAGCCTCAACTTTTACTACTTTCCCAAGCTGCAGTTCCCTGGATACACTATTGACTAGCTGTACTGTTGCAAAATGGAAGTGTCCAGTCCTCTTCCTTCATATCACTATGCTCCTATGCTCATTCTAGCAAAGGATGATTTTCATGTCCCATGGCTACTCATTCTTGGTTTAACAAATCTATTAAAAAATGTCTTTGAGACTAACCTAAATCTCTGCTCTTGTAACTTAACCTTTCTTTTCTATGCTCCTGTTCCTTAATTGTATCTTAATTGTAACCATTCTTGTATCTCCCTGCCTCCAAGATTGGGTAAGATGCTCATATTCTATGTTCCTATTGCTTCCCTTTCTTCCCTATCATTGAATACGTCCTACTAGACCATATTTGACCATTTCTTCTGTCTCCCCATCAGGTCTGGGAGAGCAGGTATTAAGTCATATCCCTTTCCCATGACTATTGCTCCTAACTGTTATGCAACAGACTCATTACCACCTACTAAAATAAGCATCTAATGTATTTTCAAAGAATTCTAGTGAAGGATGATTTTCAGGTCCCATGGTTACTCATTCCGGGTTGAACAAATCTATTAAGAAATATCTTTGAGATTAACCTAAATCTTTGCTATTGTAACTTAACCTTTCTTTTGATGACTGAGTAGCATTCTATGGTATGGATACACAGCAGTTTGTTTAACCATTCACCCACTGAAGGACTTTTGGGTTATTTCCAGTTTTGAGTTATTATGAATAATGCTGTTGCAAATATTTGTGTACAGATTATTTTGTGTGAACATGTTTTCACTTTTTCTGGTATAAATGCCCAAAGTGAAATTGTTGGCTGTCTGGTAAACACGTATTTAATTTGCCATGGTAAAACTAACTGCCATGATAAAAACATACCATGGCAGTTACCTATAAAATTTAAGCAGTTGCTTAAATATGGCAGTTACCTACAATTAATTTTGTAGGTAACTGTATGGCAGTTACCTACAACCAGAGTGGTTGTATCATTTTACTTCCCACAAGTAATGTGTGAAAGATCCAGCATCCTCTCTGTATCCTCCCTCCAGCATTTGGTGCCTTTACTATATTTTGCTTTAGCCATTCTGATAAGGGTGTGGTCATATCTCACTGTGGTTTTAATTTGCATTCCCCTAATGGCTAATCATGTTAAACATCTTTTCACATACTGATTCGCCATCTGTATATCCTCTTTGATAACACAGAGATCTATTTTGGCTGTCACGAGGTATTTCTTGTTTCCTTCTTGAATCTCAGTGGATTCAAAGGCAAAAGGTAAATCACTTACAGATAAATGATGAGTTACTGCACTTGAGTATGTACAAGATAGTGTTCTAGGTACTGTAGATAAAGCAGTGAAGAGAACAGACAAAACCCCCTGCTTTCATGAAGCTTATATTCTGGTGGGGGGAGATAACCAGTAATTAAAACAAATAATTTACAGTATATTAGATAGCCTTAAGTGGTTTAGAAAAAAAAGAAAAAAGATAGAAAATGATCTTAATTGCAATTTAAAATAGAGTTCTCAGAATAGACGTCATTGAGAGGAGATATTTGAGTGACTTGAATGGGGTGGAGGAGGCCATGGATGTGTCAGGAGGAAGACAGCCTGGCGTTGAAGCCAGTGTACATGGTGTATTTACAGAGCAGCAAGGTGGCCAGGTCAGCTGAGGCAGTGGGTGAGGGCGAGTGGCGGGGGCGGGGCACAAGGTCAGAGTGATGGAGGAGGCTCACCGTGTATATCCTCCTGGGTCCAGGTAGGACTTGGCTTCTTCTTCACTGAGTTTGACGGGAAGAGGGGTGGTGGAGAGTGGAGTAGGGGTTCTTTGGAAGGTGACGGGCGGAGAGGTGGCAGGCTCTGATTTTACTTTGAAAAGATCATCCTGTCTGCTGTGTTGAGAACAGTCTGAAGCAGGAAGTGTGGAGTCTAGGAGACCCATTTGGAGACCACTGCAATCATCCGGGAGAGGCAGGATGGTGGCCTGGATGAGGTGATGACACTGAGGGTCACAAGAAATAGTGGATCCTGGATATATTAATGCTTTAAACTAGAGCAGACATAATTTCATATTATGCTAGATGTGGAGTGAGAGAGAAAGAGAAAAGTCTGAGTTGAGGGTTTTTGGTTTGAGCATGGGGTGTGTAAAGACGTCTTTAATGGAGGCAGGGCAGGTTATGGCTAGATGCTTGAGAGCGGAGATCAAGATAAACAAAGTCTAAGGGGACTTTTAGATGACCAAGTGGAGGCAATTAATAGGTAGATGGATGGTTATGTGGGGTTTCTAGGCAGAGGGTGGCGTGGAGATACTAATTTGAGAGTCATGCTTGACACGGTACCTACCACACGGTTAATGCTCAAAGCGGAGGTTCTGCATATGGTTGCAGGCCCTCAAATCCTGTATCTCAAGTCCTTGGAGCCAGGTTTCAAAAAGCATTCAGTTGAACTGTCTGAAATTGCATATATCAGGTCATTTTGGACCTGCAATAATAATAGTTATATATGGTTCTCCTGAAAAATCCATTACACATACCTTATATTTCATAACACTTTTGGTGGGGTCTGAAACAACACCTAATAATCAACTATAGAAATAATTTTGCAGCCCAACATGCTCATACTGAATGCAATAGGTAGTGATTCCCAACAACACATGCCCTCTCAGGTCAGCTTTTGCTGCCAAATGCTTTCAGTTTTTAGAGATTTTTGGATTTTGTTTATGGGCTGGTATTATTATTATTGTTGCTGTTATTATTGTTACCATTCTGTATGGCATTCAGGGGGTTGAACTAGGCAATAAGTAGAAGTTACTGAAAGGCACACTTCAGCTCAATTTAAAGACTTTGTCAATAATGTCCAAAGATAAATCATGTTGTTTCCAGAGGTGGGAGCTCTCCATTTCAAGGGTAAGGACAGGACCTGGATGGCCACTTATTGAGAATATTTTAGAGGAAATTTGATTATTGGAAAAGTGATTGGAGTTGATGTCTTTTACAGCTTCTACTCTTATTTAAACAAGATGACTCTACATTTTTTCTACTTTTCAGGCCTTCTTTTCTCCATGTGTTAAATGGGGAGGGGGAGCTTTTTGATTGCTAAGGATGCTTCTACCATTAACGTTTTCAGGGTCTCGTGCTTCCCTGTGTCTTCTCTTTGCTTGTTGGTTGTTCCTTCCACCCATTTCTGCACATCTTTGCTTATATCCTTGTTTGCTAAGTAATATATTTTTCAGAATGTGCCATAGCAATTTCCTCATGATGTGCAAATGAGGGATTAGCAAGGGCAGCTGGGTTGGGTCAGCAGATGTTTTCTCTGTTGCTCTAGTTAATAAAAAAAGCTCATTTTTCAGCAATTACTTCTAGCTATTTTTTGGACTTGAGCAATATCCACAGCCTTTCTGCAAGGGTGCTTATTTGGGCATAGCCCTACTTTCCTGGACTGGCACTGATGGTTGGCAAGACCTTCCCTCTCTGGTTCTCTTGGGAAAAGAGCTATTTGATGAAATAGAAAATTTCAGTGGCTAACTCACTGTCTTCTAAGTGGCAACAGAAAAAGTGCAACCATTTTGAATAGAAACCTTTCTAAAATATGGTTTAAACTTTTAAAGCAGTTTATTTTTTATGATTATAAAAGTAACATTTTAAGTTTAGAAAACTAAAGAAGTAGAAGACAATTGAGTCTTCTGCA